TCACTCTCACTGTGTAATCTCTAGTTCTCAACAGATGAAACAGTTTTCAATAAAATATATCCTGTTGTCTGTATTGTCATTTTAAGCAACATCAGAAGATTGGGATAGACCTAAGGTAGATAGAGAAAAGGTGACAGGAGGGAAGAGTCACATAGAGGGAGAGAGACAGAGCAAAACTCCTCAGCAACAGAGAGTCCAGGTGGAAAGAAGTCAGCAGGAGGGTGGCAGATCTTGTTGTTGGCATTGGCACTGGCAGTGGCTGGCCTGCCTCTGGATGGTGCAGAACGAAGCTCACCAAGCCCCCTCTGTCCGGGGACAGTCCATGGCAACAGGTCTTCTCAGTCCAGGGGGCTTACCCCTGACCCCCTGATCTGAGCAGAGCTGACTGGACAGCTCTCCCACTTCCCACCTACAACCTGGAGCTGGGACTCCACACGTCCCTCCAGCCAGACTCTGAGAGCAGAGGGGAGATATGTTCCTTCATCCTAGTCACTGGTGTGATCATCCCTGGCATGAGGACCCACTTGTCTTGGGTGGAAGTGAAGTGGGTTAGACAGACATGTAGGCGCCAGTCCTTGGATGAAGGTGCCTTGGATGAATGGGCCCTGAGGCTGAGAGGGTGATAGAACCTGAGTCACCAGAAGTTCTTTCTCTTATGGCATATTGGCTCAGGTTACAATTACGAGAACCTATACTAATTGTCTGGAGTCTTTCCAAACAATTTCACAGCAGGAAGGCCATGAGCAAGAGTGCCTACCCAGAAATGGTGAAGTTACTCAGAGAAATTCTATCTCTGGATGCCATCACCCTCCTATCAGGCTTCAAATCTCTCCACCTCAGGATGCACACCACACCTTTGCTTAGGACCCAGCACAGCAGGAGGACAAAGAAGGAAACAAGTCAGGTCTCGTAACCTTAGACCACAGCTTGCAGACCAAAACCAAAAAAAAAAAAAAAAAAAAACAACTTCTTTGCTTAATTGAGCACTCAATTAAGCATGGTGTTAGCATTTGGTATTGTTTTATTTTGAATTGCATCATGATGAGATGGGACACACAGCGCTGTGTTCTCCAAAGCCCTCAGAGCACCCCACCCCACCCCTGTATCCCAGGGCCAGGCGGATCCCAGGCTCCTCTCGAGGCGGCTGCAGGAATCATGGGCTCTGGTCCCTCTGGCAGGTCTTTCTTCAACTAGAACGACAAACAGAGGGACTCTGTGAGACTGGGCTTGAGGGAGACATAGATGCAGAGCAGGTGAAGGAGAATCTGGGACAAGAGGTGGAGAAATGGAGGACAGAGCAGGTGCCCTGCCTGGAGGACCCGGACATTAAACTGTCCCCTGCTCACCCCACTCTCTCTGCAGCCTGGAGCACAGCAGGCCCCTGCCTGAGGCATTCCTTCATGGCGGGAGCAGAGGAGCAGTCAGGCTTCTCTCCTGGCACCTTTTCCTCAAAGTCATCTTAGTCATCTTCTCCAGGAAACCAGAGAATTCTAGAAGCACAGCTGGAAACAGGGCCAGTAGGTGCAGTTATATCCACATGGGCGACTCTGGACAAAGGGCACAAGGTCTCTTCCACACAGCAGTGCTCCCTGGCATCATAGATCTGGTTCCACACCTGTTCACAGGGGAGCCTGGGAGGTGGGGCAGGTGTGAGTCCCAGAAGCAATAAACCTGGTCGCAATCTGGGGTAATGTAGGAGCCCATCCCACCACCCCATGTGTTGCCTCCTCCTCATCCTCATCCTCACCCTCACCTGAAACCCCTCTGAGACTGAGCACAGGTACACAAGGATGCAAACCAGCCCTATGGGAAAGTAATCGGCTGGGTGACAAGGCCAATTTGTAGTCCGGGGTACGCTCTGAGGCTAGTTGGGTTCTGGCTGAAGCACGGTGTGAGTTTGGGGATGATTCTTCTGGGATTTGTTTGACTGGGTTGGGGTCAGTGTCCCAGAGCTGGACATGGGCTCTCTGGGACCCTGGAAGGTGAAGGATGCAGGGATGCTCCAAAAGAGCCAAGATGGAGTCCAGGGAAGGGACCAAGTGTCCTGTTGTAGAAGGTGCTGCTGGGACTGAGGGGCTGCAAGGTCCATGGGGACGGGAGGGAGGGGGCTGGGATGGAAGAGGACCTCTGGAGAGTATGGGGGTGAGATATGTTAGGCTGTGAATGTTGGACTTGGGGCTGGGGTCCTCCTTACCCAAGGTGCAGCTCCTGGTCACCGTGGCTTTGCAGCAGCCTCAAGAGGAGTGCGGTGGAAAGTGTCTGAGAATCTGAAATGGCTCTTTTATTGCAGCTTAAAGGCCCACGTGTGATTCTGGGAGGGTTTCTGGGTGACCTCAGTCAGATCAGAGAATTCCCAGTTCCCAAGTCACTCTGATGAGAACCGGACTGGACAGGAAGAAACCCCCTGTGAGCTCGCACTGGACAGGAGGGGCTGGGTCGTGCATCCAATCAAACTATGCCTGGCCCGCGCACAACTTTCAGGGGACACTGTGTGTTCAGGGGCCTGAGTCTGCTCAGCTACCTCTCCCTTGGTGTGTTAGCACACCCCAACAGACCCTGTTAGATAGACTTTTACTGCATGATGGTCCTGGTCTTTCTGTCCATGAGCACATGGCATGACACGCGTGTCAATTTGTGAGACTCTTAGAACAGTGCCTTCCTCCTGGTAAAACCTTATCAGTGATTGCTAAGCATTAGAAAATAATCTTTTCATAGCTATAACTTTCCAACATTTAAAAATATATTCGCCCTAGCCGGTTTGGCTCAATGGATAGAGCATCAGCCCTCGGATTGAAGGGTCCCGGGTTTGATTCCGGCCAAGGGCACGTACCTTGGTTGCAGTTTCCCGGCCCTGGTCAGGGCACGTGCAGGAGGCAACCAATCGATGTGTCTCTCTCACATCGATGTTTCTCTCTATCTCTCCCCGTCCCTTCCACTCTCAATGGAAAAAATATCCTTGGTTGAGGATTAACAAAAAAATAAAATTAAAATATATCCTGGTATGCTCTATGTCAATGAGGTGTCTAAATTGCAATCAGGATAAACTCTGGGCAATTTAGTTAGAAAGTAAATGTATTGAAGGGCTATAGAGGAGCGTCAGTGTTGACTGGGAGGATGGAGAAATGGCACACAGCTAAGCAGCCCTGACTCTTTTTGAAACCAAGTTGCTGATCAGAAAGTTGGAGAAACGGTTGTCATAATGCGTGTGCCTGAAATGGGTCTTCCTGCATTTGCCACCGGCAGCAGCACTGGGCTCTCTGGCCCTGAGTGCCATCCTGAAGCCACCTTAGGTCTGTGCCTGCAGCCCCCACTAGTCAAAGGCAGAATGGGCGCATCAGGTTAGCTGAGCTTGAGTCACCTGCCAGCACCCTATTATCAAGGGGTTTGGGATAAAGAGTTCTGGCATTTCAGATATGGCCTCACCAAGTCTCTTAAAGTCAGGTATCCCCAGACAGAGAAAAGCGTTCATATCTTTCCTATGGGATCTTGTGCTTCAGAGAACAGAAAGGGGTAGGGACAGGTGCTCATGGAGGGGATCCCAGAGCCTCGAATGTTAAATTCCCAGGGGCATTGCTTCCTGTGTGCAGATGGGCAGCCTTAATGCAGGCAGCACAGACAGCGTGTTTTTTCCCATGGCTCAGAAGAGAAGAGAGGGTTTTGTCCTGGAGAAGGGAGAGCAGAGCTGTGACCTGTCAGTGGGAGTAAGAGCCATGCATGTTAGGTCTCTTCTCCATCCGGCACCCAGAGGGCTCCTTCATGTGGGTAGCACTGCCCTCTGCACTTATCACCCCGGGTGCCTTCCCATCACACTTGGCAGAGAATCCCAGATCCTCATCATGGCAACAGGAACCCATGTGACTTCATCACCTGCTCCATTCTTCTCAGCACCCTCCTCTCCCCCTAACAGTCTTCTTCATGTCTCAAGCACATAAATTCTGTTTCCTTCAAGATTTCTCACTCACCTTCTCCTCGGCCCCTCCTCCAGAGACCTGTCCACCTCTCTGCCCCATTGTATTCCAACCTCTACTCTGATGTCACCTCTGCAGAGAGGCCTTTGCTGACCACTGTGTCTGAAATAGCCCCCGTCCCCATCCCTCCTGGTCCCTCCTACCACTCTGACATATTTTTGCTTGTTTTCCTCGTTTTTGTGACATACTATATATGTATTTGCTTGGTTTTGTTCTGCACACACCAAGAACTAATGTTCTATGATGGCAGCGACTTTATTTTGTTCACAGCTGTATCTTCAGAACTATGGACAGTACCCAGGACAGAGCAGGCCTTTAGTCATTTTCTGCTGAAATAAATGGGGTGGAAGGAGATTGCAGAGGGAGTAAGGAGGTCCTAATATATGGTGACTGAAGAAGATTTGCCTTTGGGTGGTGGGCACACAGAATAATATACACACTTGTAACATAGAAACCCACACCTGAAACCTATATGGTGATGGAAGGAGACTTGACTTCGGGTGATGAACACACAATACATGTACAGATAACGTATTATAGAATTGTACACTGGAAACCTATATAATTTTATTAACCAAAGTCACTCCAATAAATTCAATTTTTTTTTAAAAAAAAGGCTTAAATGGGAAATGGGAGATTATGAGCATTTTGAAGGCTTTACGATGTTGTCTTTAAGGTGCATTTGTTACATCTTGCTTCCGGACAAATTCCTCTGTGTAGCCAGTGCGGGGTCTGGAGCTCTGAGCACAGAGGTGGCCAGGACGCTGATCAACATGCCTGCGCAGTCCAGGCCGTCCTTAGCTGGGCAGCTGAGGCCTGACCTGGAATCCAAATATCCTCTTGGCACCACAGGGGCAACCTGGAATATCCTTTCCTTGATGGATATTTTCACCAGAGACCCAGATGGGGGCACTCCCTCTGCCATGTCGGAGAATCTCTCCTGGTTCCTGGGCTATTTTAGTTTTAAACCTCTAGGAAATTGTATCTTCTCTGGATTCATTTTTCCATGGGATCCAATTGTTTTTCAGCTACTTCACCCATGCTCCCTGTAATCTCCGATTCATCTCTGGTTTCTGAAACTTCAGGTGTAACCTCATCTTCTGTTGTTGTTTTTTGTTTGTTTGTTTGTTTGTTTGTTTTTAAAATTTTTTTAATTGCCTAAAGTATTACAAAGATGCTCTAACCGGTTTGGCTCAGTGGATAGAGCGTCGGCCTGCGGACTCAAGGGTCCCAGGTTCGATTCTGGTCAAGGGCATGTACCTTGGTTGCGGGCACATCCCCAGTAGGGAGTGTGCAGGAGTCAGCTGATCGATGCTTCTCTCTCATCGATGTTTATAACTCTCTATCCCTCTCCCTTCCTCTCTGTAAAAAATCAATAAAATATATTTTTTAAAAAAAGTATTACAAAGAGTATTACATATGTCTCCTTTTTTTCCCCAGCCCTTGACAATCCCCCAGCCTCCCCTACCCCCCAGTGTCTTATGTCCATTGGTTATGCTTATATGCATGCATACAAGTCCTTTGGGTGATCTCTTACCCCTCCCCCTTCTGTCCCCCAACCCTCCCCAGCCTTCCCGCTGTAGTTCGACAGTCTGTTCGAGGCAGCTCTGCCTCTGTATCTATTTTTGTTCAAAAGTTTATTATGGTCTTTATTATCCATAAATGGGTGAGATCATGTGGTATTTTTTCTTCATTTGACTGGCTTGTTTCACTTTAGCATAATGCTCTCCAGTTCCATCCATGCAGTTGCAAATGGTAAGAGTTCCTTCTTTTTTATAGGCAGCATAGTATTCCATCATGTAGATGTACCACGGTTTTCTAATCCATTCATCTACTGATGGGCACTTAGGCTGTTTCCAGATCTTAGCTATGGTGAATTGTGCTGCTATGAACATAGGGGTGCATATATCCTTTCTGATTGATGTTTCTGGTTTCTTGGGATATATTCCTAGAAGTGGGATCACAGGGTCAAATGGGAGTTCCATTTCCAGTTTTTTGAGGAACCTCCATACTGCCTTCCATAGTGGCTGCACCACTCTGCATTCCCACCAGCAGTGCATAGTGTTCCTTTTTCTCCACATCCTCTCCAGCACTTGTCGTTTGTTGATTTGTTGATGATAGCCATTCTGACAGGTGTGAGATGGTACCTCATTGTTGTTTTGATTTGCATCTCTCGGATGATTAGTGACTTTGAGCATGTTTTCATATGTCTTTTGGCTTTCTGAATGTCCTCTTTTGAAAGGTGTCTATTTAGGTCCTTTGCCCATTTTTTGATTGGATTGTTTATCTTCCTTTTGTTGAGTTGTATGAGTTCCCTATAAATGTTGTCATCTTCTGTTTCTATGATGATTTCAAATTCTGGACAAAGGAAGCTGTGGTCTGCAACTGTATGGTTCAAATTATCTGACTGTCTGTAACCTGCTTGTGTCCAGATCTGCAGTCCGCAGTCCGGTGCTACTTACTGTAACAACACGCCTCGTGACTGTCAGAGCATTTGGGGCCTTAACAGCAGCCAACCCTGCAGAGATGAGCCCAGACTTGAGCCAGAAGCACACGGATCCTCCCATCTCCGGGGAAGGATGCTCAGAAGGTGGCCCATATGAGTAGAAGTCATTTTTCCCAAGTGGCTGATTTCTAAAAACACGTGGGCCACTCAACACTGAGGCCGTGTGTGGGCCCAGAAGAGGAGCAGGCTGCTAGGAAAGGGTTAAGCAGAACAGGCAGGGGCTTGTACAGCTGCAGCGGGCCCAGCCGCACCCAGCCACCTGCTCATTATGCTGGAACTTCTGGTATCTCAGCAGCCTCATCTGTGCTACTACACCCACGAATTCCAGTTACACTGCTCCTTGGGGCACACACCCAGATTTAATGATATTGTAGGTAGATCATCATGGATTAGTTTTGCCTTTTTTAATTTTTTTATTGATTAAAGTATTACCTATGTGTCCTTATCCCCACGTTACCCCACATCCCCCTACTCATGCCCTCACCCCCCTGGTGTCTGTGTCCATTGGTTAGGCCTCTATGCTTGCATATAAGTCCTTTGGTTGATCTCTCCCCCTTACCCCACCCTCCCTTACCTTCCCTCTGAGGTTTGATGGTCTGATCGATGCTTCTCTGTCTCTGGATCTGTTTTTGCTCATCAGTTTATGTTGTTCATTATAATCCACAAATGAGTGAGATCATGTGATATTTATCTTTCTCTGAGTGGCTTATTTCGCGTAGCATAATGCTCTCCAGCTCCATCCATGCTGTTGCAAATGGTAAGAGCTCCTTTTTTACCGCAGCGTAGAATTAGCAATATGACCCACACAGTATGTTCTCTTCAGTGCTGACTTTATTCATGGAACACGATGTCTGAGAGACACAGTATCTATGTGTGAACCAGCAGATCGTGTTTGTCGCTGGGGGGCTTTCATTCCACTTGGTGAACTTACCACTATCTACCTGTCTGTCTACCACTGATGCATACATGAGCTGTTTGCAGTTTGGGACTGGAACAAATGAGGCTTCTCTGAACATTCCTGTACCTGCCTTTTGATGAACCCATGTGTACATCTCCTCAGAGGGAGTTACCAGTTCACAGGGTGGCCATATGTTTACTTTCACAGATAAAACATGGTTCCGAAATGGTTAGAGCAATTCCCCCACCCAGAGAGTCCCAGTTGCTGCACACCTTGCTGACACGGATTAAACTGTAGCCGTTCTCATGGGTGAGTGGCTGTATCTCCTCCATTTCTCTGATGAGGACTGAAGTGCGAGTTTTCATCTGCACGTGGACTATTTGGTAGCCTCTCATTTGAGGTGTCTGTTCTATTTCTATTTTTAAACATTGACTGT